AAGGTCGCCATTTGTGGACTGCCCATACCATTGCTAAACATTCTTTCTCTATCGTTGAATACTTTCTCTCTGTGAGTGTTAAAACTCGACTGGCATACTCAACGATTCCATCACCTTGTCTTAGGACCGCACCTATGGCGTAGTCACTGGCATCTGTGCATACTGTAAACTGTCTTCCAGGTACAGGTAGTTTTAGCGTCATTTGTTGGTGGTCGAACAGGTGTTTAATTCTGTCAAATGTCCTCTGCGATTCTTCCGACCAAACAAACTTCGGCTCACCTAGTAGCCTGTATAGAGGGGCTGCTATCTCATTGAAGTTCTTCACGAATCGACTATAAAACGCCGCTCTACCCAAGAATTGCCTCAATTTCCTCTTTGAATTTGGGGCCGGGATCGTCTTTATCGTCAAGATTTTCTCCGGTCGTGGTTTAATCTCACCACTTCCCACTTTATGTCCCAAAAGAGTTACATTCTTTTTGGCTATCTGAGACTTGGTTTTGTTGACGCGCAGTCCAAACTCTTCGATGCGTCGCAGCACGGCTTCCACATGGTTCACATGATCGTTTTCGTTTTGACTATATATGACGAGATCATCACCGTACACCTCAACGTTTTTCAAGTTCTTAAGTAATAGCGTCATCAGTCGTCTGAACGTGAACGGTGCACCTGCTAGTCCAAATGGCATGCGTTTAAATCGATATTGTGTCTGGCCTACGCTGAATGCCGTCTTATCTCTATCACCTGGTTTTATCGGTATCTGCCAGTACCCTGAGCGAAGATCGAAAACGGAAAACACATTCGCGCCTTGTAGGCGGTCTAAAGTTTCCACCACTGTTGGCATGGCACGCGGTTTTAACTCTGTCATACTGTTTAATTGTCGAAAGTCAACACAGAATCTATACTTCCCATTCGCTTTCTTTACTAACAGCACTGGAGAGTTGTACGGGCTATCAGCTTCTTCAATAATATCGTCTTTTAACATCTCTTGCACTTGTCGCTTCACTTCGCCTTCCAGATGACATGGTATTCTTCGCGATGTAAATGACATTACTTTTGGATTAGTTAACGGAATTTCATGATTCACCTTGTCGCAATAACCGTATGGATCGCCATCTCCAGTGAACAGATGATCGTATTTCTTAATTAAATCTGTCATGTTGTATACCGTCGACAGGTTCACCGCTGCTATCTCGCTGGTCTCATACATTTTGATACGCCCGTATTTCGTGACCACTACTTTCGCTTGCGTGTCAATTATTGCACCAATCTCCCGCAGAAAATCCGCTCCTAATATCGTTCGCTGTAGTTCGGGCACAACAATGAAAGGAAACGTCACCTCGCACCCTCCAACAACAATCGTACAGTTCGACCTACCCGTTATACGCAACACATGCCCGCCTACTGTTTGTACTGTCAACGAACACGGACTAACGCTCTTACATAAATTCTTATCTATCAACGACACGGCCGCTCCTGTATCTACTAAGCATACTACTTCTCGATCATTTACTCGCAACTTCGAATACATAGCCCCTTTCTCAATCGCCCCCACTAAGTCTAGGTTCATACGAAAGAAAGAACAAGCATTATACCGTCTGAAATTTTTCCTTTTCTGTCTTTCTGGGCAGTCTCTTCTCCAGTGTCCTGGCTTGCCGCATTCAAAACATCGGTTTTTTCTATTACCCAACTTTAACGCCGCCACTTCCCGCTGCAGTGCTTCAATTTGCTCCTCATATTCATTTGGTTTCGGCTGCTCTACAGCGGCTACAGTCGTGCTCAGCAGCTGTCTGGTCACCTTCGCTAGTTCACTAATATCCATCGGTTGCGTTGCGTTCACCAGTTTTAACTGCTGAGAAATGTGGTCTGGTACACTCTCGATGAATTGGGAAGATAGTAACTGCTCTTCTGATTCTTTATCCAACGTGGGAAGCGCCCGTCGAAGTAAATTCGTCAATTTCACCGCCAATACTAACGGGTCTCCATCAGGTCCCAGCCTCGTTGATCGGAACTGCTGCATCGCTAGCTGCCTGTCTGTTGCGCTGTCGAACTCCGACACCAAATTTTCAACCAATTTCTTCCAAGACACTGTGCCGTTTGACCGGTCTACGCTGTCATATGCCGCCTTCGCTCGGCCTCTCAACAGCGTCCCCAGAACAACTGCCTTCGCCGCCTGCTCCTTGACACCCACCAGCTCAGCTATGGCTTCGAAATCACGTAGGAAGCTCCGTATGTCTCCCTCCTCAAACGCAGCTGGCCACGGGATCTTCATTTTTGCGGAGGCAGCGACACCAAATGTAACAACAGAAGACAAGGCTGGCAACAGATCAGTTTTATTACGAAAACCGACAGGTATTTATATGTATTTTACGTACATTAATAGGCTTCTGCCCGCAGAAAGAAGGCGGTCTTCTGATTGGTTGTTTGCACACAAACGCAGTCTTCTGCTTTCTCGTTTTCGATGTTTCTCGGAAATGCGAGCCACTTGTCTGCGAATCATATTTGTCCATGTCAAGGTCAGCTGTGATTGGTCCTTGAATCAGCCTAGATTAATTTCTACCAATCAGCGTAGATCAATGTCTACCAATTGGCTAGCAGCTTGCTCTCACCACAATGGTACATCATGTGACAGGTTGAAAGAGATCCACGTGACCAACTGATTAAATGACGCTATACCACTTCATTAACTGTCACTGCAGCCATTACAAGTCGATGAACCAATCACACATAAAGCCTGAGTTATTGTGATAGGCAGCTTTGTGTAAATCAAACAGAATCACCATAAAAATGAGTAAGTCTCGTGTCATTGGTTTGACGAAATCACTAAACTCTATTTGGTACATTACAGACATACAATACAGTTGAATGACAAAAAAGGGTGAATGAGTTTTTGATTTATGGGCTTTTTCTGATCTAGGTGGTTTAGTCACCAAGCTCTCATTGTTCATCTAGACAATATCTTCGGTGTAAACTTCAATATGAAGTAAATTTATTTGTATTCTCAATGAATGCTATATACCTCTGTCGTGATTGATTGTTAATTTGCACCAGTAGTGATCGTTTTTATTGACTTTTTTTGTCAAGTGGCTTACTCTTTGTTAGTTGATAAATTTGATCCATGAGAATGTGTCTGTTAATCACATCTGAGTCTTTTCATCTGCAGAAGACGACAAGACCAACACCATCTACCAGATAAATTGCATGAATTGTGATATGCACTATTTTGGTCAAAGTGGGTATTCCCTTCAACTTCGAGTTCATGAACATAAGTTGGCTATCAAAAGACACGACATGCAATAACTCATATCATAACATGTAGCCAACTACAGGCAACAATTTGACTAGAAGAACGTAGAAATTTCAAACAGTGGAAACATAAAAAACGCCACAGAATTCCTAATAACCTGGTACTCAGATAAATCAATCAGCAATTAACAGATACGTTATCATACATAAAATTTATCAACTAATAAAGAACAAGCAACATGACGAAATAAGTCAAACTCCATGGCAATAAAATGGCTCAATAGTAATTGTAAATTAGCAGCCAATCAGGATGAAAGGTTGTCAGGAGATACAGTCATATCACTCATTCAGAATTCAAATGAGTTCACTTCATTTTGAAGTCTGCGCTGAAGATATTGTTTAGAAGGACAGTGTGAGCTTCGTGATCAAACTATTCAGCTCAGAGAACGCAACCACATCCAAACTATCCACCTGAGCTAAAAATCTCTGTTATTTCAAAATGTTTCTTTAACACATATATTACGGTTGACGATATAAGACATGTTGCTAGGTTATTTAAGTTCACTGGAATACATGTGTCCACCAATAATCGTTTGGGCATTGGGTTCAAGCCTCGCAAGAAACATCATCAATCACTGGGGAATGCAGGTAAATCCAGCTGACGAACCCCAAATCAGGACTAAAAGAGCATCCTGGATTCGACTGCTAGTCATCATCCATCAATTAGCTTCAAATAATCGTTTGGGTTTGAATAATTCATACCGTCAGTCTATATAAGCATCTGTCTGTCATTTCTGTGCGTTCTTAGTTTAGGGCTTCAGTAGCAGTGGTATCATTTTATGGGGTAGGGTTACTAACCCCATGCCCAACCTCCCCTCTTTGTTGGGCTTATAATCGAGATGAAGGGTGTGCACTGGGGCACGAATCTAACTACACCCTCATATATTACCATAAATAATTTAAAATAAATCAAACTTAGAGAAGTAGAAATAACAACTGGAGAGTTTCTAAATGATAATTACTAAATTGTGTTCATTTCGGTAAAAGTACGAATATCTTAATAATGCAGAGGTCATAATATGATTTGAATTGTGTTTAACAGGTAGAGAGAGAGAGTGAGACTGCCAACCTGGCGACCAACTTTCCCTCTTTTCTGGACTTACTACGGGCTAAGAGAGGCTTAGTAGTGCGTTGGGCACGTATTGAACCCCAGATCACGTGGGCGATCGGTCAATATACTACCACTAAACCATCGACGCACCAGGCCTCACTCTTAAAGCTCGGCTAATTTACTAACCGGTACTAAGTTTCGAAAAGACAGAAGGCTCTGCCTGACTCTGTCAAACCTACTAAATAAAAGGGACGCCACTTCCAATGAAACTTCAAAGCTTGAAACAGCAGGTTCTGATAGAAGCGCAAAGAATGAAAAAAGTAAACGTAGCACAACTCTTATTCATCTTTCACCACTTTGTCATAGGCCAATTAACTGTCCTGTTTTTCTGTCCAATTTCACGACTAGCAAACAGTAAGACGGAATGGAAGCCCCCTCATACAAACAACATTGCCGTTAGTGAAACTTCATAGCTGGAAGCCTTTTGTTCCACCCAGAATGCAAAGAAATAAATGTTAATGATATAAATGTCAACTCTGATTTGAAGTTATAAGCATGATTACTTCAGAGAAATCTTACAGTGATTATCATCTAATCTTGGCCTTTTTGAGTTAGATAAACTTTATTTTACACACAGTGAGCTTACTAGGGAAGACAAGTGTTGCATATCTAAAGGTTAATTTATGTAAAATGTAAAACTTACGCGTAGTGAGTGTTTGCTGTAAAGAAAATATCAATAAAGTTGTAATTAAATCAAGCTTTACTAGTTTACCATACATAACCTTGAAATAGTATACCAACCAATCATATTTCTCATATCACAAAAATTAACAATAAATCTTACCACGCATAATGTAGAGAATACATACTTGGTTCGCTCAAAGCTAATTTGTGAAATGTGTAGTATTATTATGCAGACAAATTCTTGTGATTTCTGTCAGCTGTTGGTGGAACTGTATATATAGGTGTCAAAACGAAAACATCAATTACAGTAGAATGACTGGGACCAGCAGCATCTTGCTTACTTGGACATCATTGTATCACGTGAAACACGAAACCAGGCTCTAAACTAATTTTAATTCAATCAATAAACCTTTCTCAATACTATCACGGGAATTACACACATATAGCTATCTCTTGGTTATCACTACACTTAGAGTTCAGCGAGTTGAAACGTATGGATATTATTGTTTCCTTTAATTCCTAGAGGAACATAGGGCTTCAGCCGTGCGTCTCCATTGCGTTCGGTTCTCTGCGAGAGTCTTCACCTGGCTCCAAGTCTGCCCACACGTTTTCATCTCCTCTTCACATGACCTCCTCCAAGTCACCTTTGGACGACCAACTTGCCGCCTCCCTTTCGGGTTCCACTCGAGAGCTTGTCTAGTGATGTCACTTTATGATTTCCTAAGAGTATGGCCAATCCATCTCCATTTCTTCCTGCCTATTTGTTTCACAATCGGTTCCTGATGGGTTGGTTCGCTCATTGGCAGAGATCCCTCCCTGTTGCTGATCTTTTCTGGCCGGCCATCTGATCTTGAGTACTGAGCGAAGACAACTGTTGATGAAGGTCTGTAGTTTGTTTGAGATGCTCTTTATGACGCGCAGTGCAAGTCTCTGATCCGTATGTTGAGTAGCCCTGACTTCACATTGGAGCTGAAAATCCGGATCTTATTTCTGATGCTGAGTGTTGTTGACCTACACACAGACTTGAGAGTAGTGGAAGCTTGTCTTGCTTTTCCGATTCTTGCTTTGATATCCTCGTCAGTTCCGCCTGTAGTTGAAACGATGCTTCCCAGGTAGGTAGGTGAAGGAGGTTGTTTCTTTCAGGTTCCTCCCATTTATGCTGATTGTTGTCTGTTGTTGTTGTTCTTGTCCAGGAATCTTCATTACCTCTGTTTTCTCTATGTTCACCTAAAGTTCTATCTTTGATGCTTCTTCTGCCAACTTATTGCTTTTCGCTTGCATATCTTCCAGTTTGTGGGAAATCAGACATATATCATCGGCGAAGTCCAGATCCTCCAAGTTTTTTGTGTGAGTCCATTTTTATGCCTGTTTCCTCATTGCCCGCTGTTTGTCGCATTATCCAGTCTACTGCAATCAGGGAAATCATTGGCGATAGTAGGCAGCCAGCCTTGTCTTACTCCTGTCCTCACTTCGAAGGGTTCCGTAAGTTTCCCGTTGTGGATTACTTGGCATACAGCATTGTCGTACAGCTGTTGGATGAGATGTATAATTGTCGGTGGCACCTCGAAGTTGCGAAGTAGTTTCCAAATCACCTCTCGATCGATGCTGTCAAAAGCCTTTTCAAAGTACGTATGGGTAACTGAGGTAAAATGAAGTTACGACTAGTGAACACACCATTCATCATCAACAACTTAACATTGATAACCAAGTGCTTTCTGAAGTTAAACACAGGTTATTTGTATCATTGTGGTAGGCTAATAAGCAGCAAATGTATATTTTAAGTTACTCACTCTATTAAAGATTGCCGAAATAAAAATGCAGTAGAAATCAGCTGATTTCCAGAATACATATATAGCCGAAATAGAACAGGGAGTGACTGAACCATCTTAGCGATTATATGGAATATCTCTTTTTTGAAGTGACACCACCTACCTTATCCGTTGAGTATTAGGGCGTTTCAGTGAATTGGCAAAATATACCAGCATGATTTTATGAAAATTCAATAATATACGTTTAACTTTTGAATCTGCTACCTCTTTCAATAAATTGCGTTGTGCAGATATCGGTATCAAGCAACATTTTCTGATAAAAGTGTAGCAAAAGTAACGCAGTTCAAGAACATAATGCCATCGATAAAATGCATGCCAGAAGAAAATTTAAATGCAAACTTTAGTTTAAAAGGTATACAAAAAACACAGCTTGTCATTATATCACCATAGCAATGGATTACGATGTTATAATTAGCGGAGATATGTGATATAGCCACTCCTTAGAAATTTGATCATGCTTGTTTATTTGGTATTGACTAACAGTGGCATCAGGGATAAGCCTTAAATCTGTTTTTGAATCTGCTGTATAGATAACTGTATTTATCCGAATGATAGGTTAATTCGTGTTACTAACATGTAGAAATCTCAGCCAGAGTTTGTATTTCAGTCAGTAATGAACGTTTTAAACTGACTTCTAACCAACCCTAATGCAAGTCGAGCTTGGAGATGTAATTCATGAAAAGTCATGACCATACGCTTTTACTGAGTCAAGTGAAAGGATCGAAACTAACTCAGTGATGTTATTTTACGGCGATACTACTATACAGTGACACTGACAACAGTCAATATCTACGAGTTACTGGTCTCCACTTCAGTTGCTGAATGGTAATACCTAGTTGTTTGACAGTCCAGGTTTTAATTCCTAGTGGGAACGTGATTATTTATTGTTGCAGAGTCCTAAGATGGAATGAAACATCTGCTCCCTTAAATCATGTTGATTTCAGTTAAACAATCACAGGGAAACGTAGGAGTACTGGATAGCTGTCTCGTCCTAGTCTGGCACCTTTTAGCGACAGACACCCATGAGAGCTTGAACTCAGAGCCTAATGGTTTAAAGGTGAGCTCGTCAATCAACCAGCCACTGGCATTCGATCCAATGAACAATGAATTCTGACTTCTGCCAATTCAGGCAACCCCCAGCCAGTGTTTTCGGCGAGTAACCGTTTTTTTAGGTGACTTGGTGGACCCCACTGGTTAAAACTTCTCACTGGAACTCCAGTTAACTTCATGTATACAGCGAGTTGCTAGTGAGCATCAGACTGATTTTCAAGTGTTGGTTTGCAGAGATTTCAGGGGTTCGAACCGCGATGAGTTTGTACCAATGATGAGTTCCAAAATAGAACGAAACAGCTGTCTAGGACTCTTTGTTTTCTCGTTGATTCTCTAACTGATGTCACCTCTTGATTGAACCCGCAACCATTCGAATCTCTATAAACCAGCACTTGATGTCGATTTGTAACGAAACGCAGAATAAAATTAGTCACACCTATACAAACCGAATACTCCAAAATATACCGATATTAATGTTAGCGCGGAAAAATCTCATGACAACATTTGCTCGTACATAGTTTAATTTCATTTTTCAGAAAGTTGAAGCAAAGAATCCAATTTCTTTATACTTGTGAGTAAACTCAACTTAGAAATAAGGGTAATATTGATTATTCAGTTCACAGTGGCCAGATAACGAAATGAAGCTGATTAATTCAAATGTATCAGTGGGAAATCGCAAATGCAAACAGATAATATGAAATCTAAAAGATGTCCTGTGGCTCAGTAGACCGGTGGATAACGCTATGGTATTTTAATCTACGTATATTTGGTTCACATTTCAATGGAAAGATCATTACTTTATGAGACTGCAGCATACTCAACTGACCAATCAAAAAGAGTAAGAAACATGTGTCTTGAATTCCTTTGGTAGGCACCACCAAAGGAGTAACCTTGTATAGGTCAAGGTATTGTGCCAACCAAGAAAACTAACCCATGAAAGTAGGCCTATCACAGTTAATTAACATAGTCAATAAAGAATGAGCACTGAGGATAGATAAAACATGCTTAAGATTTTACAATACTCAGTAATTATAAAAGCTTTTCTTGCGTCCGCTTGATTAACAGTTTATCTTGATTTCCATGTTAAAACTTCTCTCTCAGATTTAATCGATGGTACTCAGAAATTCTATTCTAGAATTGCTCAGTAATGTTGCCCATACAACTCGCTTCAAAACAGCCATCCACAGAATGTTATTTATTATTGTTTTAATTATCTTAGGTTCCAAGTGGAACATAGTGTTTCAGTAGCATCTCACCATTTCAGTCGGTTCTCTGCAGTCCCTTTTAGGTGGATCCCAGATTGCCCATAAGCCCCATTTCCTCCACACATGAACTCTCCGTTGTCACCCTAGGACTCGTTGTTTCCCATTCCAGTTCAAGTCGACTGCCCGGTGAGTGATATCACTCAACGGTCCTCCCAGCGTTTATCCAATCCGTCTTAGTTTCGTCCTGAATAGCTTCTGAACAATAGGTTCTTTGTTGGTTCGTTTCCAGATTTCCTTGTTGTCTATCCTCTCCGGACGGCAATTTGATCTTCAGTATCGAGCGAAGGCAAATGTTGATTAAAGTCTGTCGTGGCCTATTGGAGATGCTTTTCATGACGCCTACATAAAGACTCTGAAACATAAGAAACAACTGGCTTAAGACTCATGTCGAAGACCCGGATCTTGTTCATTTTGCTGAGTGCAGCAGATTTCCGCACTGATTTCAGAATAATAAACGTCTGTCTCGCCTTCCAAACCTTGGCTTGGACATTCTCATTTGTGCCGCCTGTAGCTGGAATGATAGTGACTAGTTAAGCAAACGGGATAACTTCGTTGAGGTTGCCACCGTTGATGATCACGGAGTCTACTGAATTAGCAATCACACATTGACTTCATCTAAATCTCAAGAAAGTGGAGACGTAGTCTACTGGACACAAAGTCCAGAAGGAGACCAAATGTGTGCTCAGACCATTATCTATTTCAGCGAGCCCTCATGGTCAAGCTGAAAGCCTTCAGAACAACTGGAGATAGACTACAATTCAAGTTCAACAGTCAGAAACTAAAAAACGAAACTACTACCTGTATAACTTACGAAATCTTTTATGCATTTGTGAAAAACCCATTTTATGCTTCTG